TTCCAGGTGATCAAATAGAAATGACAAAATCGTTTTTAATTGATCTGAAAAATTTTTAAGGTTATAAAAATATTTTTTAGTTTTTTCTTAGATCTTTGTAAGTTTATTAAATGTTTTCGCGGAAAAACTGTGTGTGTTATAGGATTTTTTAACAAAAAAAAGCAATGATGCTTGAGGAAAAGGTGGTTGATGAAATTGATCACATCCATAGTCAGAAGGCAAAGCACAGGTAAACTTTTTCACCAAAGTATGCAATTTATTTTCTTTTTTTTTGTTTATTTTTTTATCTTACTATTTTAATAACCTTAAAGAACTAGTGTTGTTGAATTAACAAGAATTTTGCAAAATATTTGTTTGTGGATAAAAGTTTTAGAACATTACAATTTAAATTACATGAAGATTTCTAGAACGTGGTGAACATTATCATTTTTAACTTAAAATCTTGTACATTGCAAATGACTAAAAATTCTTTTAGATTCTTTTAAAATTATAACATTTATTAGGGCTTATTTTTTATAAAAATCTTGATATCCTATAATTATTTGGTATAACTAAATTCTTTCTTTCAGATTGTTAATGATATTTGCGTGATAATTTCATGTAATTTTTTCTGCAACATTGTTGCTTAACAATATTATAAAATCAGTAAACTTGAAAAATTTTACTTTTCAGGTGTATACAAACAAACAAATATTTACAAATATTTGTTAACGTTGAAAATATTAACATTGCAGTAATCAAAAACAAAACAAAAATAATTAAATAAGTTTGAAAAACCAGAGAACTTGATTAAAATTTTTGAGGGAAAATGAAGGAATCGATTAAAAGTGAATTGAATGAATGTTAATCACATTTAGAAGAAAACAAATAGGAGTTATCAATAGATTAACCCTTTTTGGGTAATATTGCCAAACCTAATGCAAGAATTCAACCTATGCTTGCACAACCTATGCTTGCACAATTCTATTCCAATATTACTTTATAATTGTAATTATAACTCAGAAAACTAAAGCTTCACTAGTTCAAATATGTCCAAAAGTTGCTATGTAGAGAAACTCAAACTAGAGCAACATGTTATAGTCCAAAATGCAAACTTGTCCTAATAAAAGTAAGAACGGATTCAGAATTCACATTACCATTTTAAATTTTCTTTCACATCAATTTTTATTACACTTTTTGCATCAAACATTACGTGCCACTCCTTAGACCTTTTTAAATTAAGGTATACCATTTAATGTAAACAAATAAATCGTTTAAATCTTCACATTAAGATTACTCGAAATATATATATATATATTTTGTTTTCTTTAATTCATGTTTATATAAAGACCAATCATCTAAGAGAAGATTTATATTTTTAAAATTGTAAAACGATGTCATAGTATTCATTTAATTACAACATTGTTGCAAAATTTTATTTTTAATTAAAAAGACAGAAGAAGAAAAGCAGAAGAGTAGCAACAACAACATTTTATTATTGAGACTTTATTTGAATTCAAGTTTCTTTTATGACTAAATTTGTCAAGATTTTCAATGGACTAATGGTGATTATTACATTTTTTTTTTCCTTACTTTTTTTTATTTTTAAAATCCGTAAATTGCTTTCGTTTAAATGAAGGTAAGCTGATAATGTGTTTCTTATGAAATTTATTGTTATCAGTTCTCTAATGGTTCAACATGTCCATAAGTATAATGACATCAGAAAGTAACATGAGAGTATTAAATAAATTGATAAGAAAGGTGTTCAAATAATTGTAAAATTTAAATCTAAAAAAAAAATATAAAATTCTTGTAATTGATTGAATTAGCAGTTGGAAACAATTGGAAATATTTTCAGTACATCATAAATATTTGCTTGCTAGATTGTTTTCTAGTAAACTCTCAATTACACAAAAATTACCTTAAATTAAATTCTGGTGAAAAAGAAAGTTTGATATTTAAAAAAGCTTATTTAAATTCTACATTTTGTTATTAACTTGTGTAACATTACAAGCACTTTGACACTTTTAATTGGAAAAAATTTTTATATCATCCAAATTCACGTTGAATAAAATCACAATTTCTAGAGGTTAATCAGAAATTCTAAAACGATTTTGTTGCAGCTTGCAGTGTTCCAAAATTCAACGGAAGATTTTCGTTGTGACAATTGTTTTTAGTTTTCTATAAAGTTAATATTGTAAATTTTTACTCAATTTTCCAACCCATAATAATTAGACTTTCAAGAAACGAAGACATGAAGACATGAATATGAATAAATCAATACTTGACATTAAAATCAAATAATTGTCAAATTTTTGACAATTTAGAAACTTTTATAAAAACTCTTTCAATTTACAAAATGAATAAAATTTCATGCAAACCTTCTTCTAAAGTCAAATTTGAATAAAATCAAATTTAAATCACATTTAATATCTTAATAACAGATTATAAATCTAATAAAAAAGTAATAACAAATATGACAAATAATTTATAAATTATTTCCTACCCCCAAGTTATTTAAATCAATTTAATATAACATTAACGATTTCTACCAGAAAAATAATAAAATATTTAAAAATTAATAATTAATTATCATATTTAATGAAATCATAAAAATCCACCCATAAAAATATTGATTTAATCTTTAAACTGCACACTGCACAATTTCACATATTCTGACAAAAAAAAAATGCTCGAAACCATACTAAAATAAAAAAAAAAATTTTTAATACCAATAATTGATGTTTTCATATATGGTAAAACGATATGGGAAAAATACAAGAAAACAAAAAAAAACAAGAAAATCATTTAGACAATTTTCATAAATTTTCCAATCTACATAAAATTCGACATTTTTTTTTCCTGTTTTCTTTTTAAATTGTTTGTAATTTAACCGACCGACCAACCACCATTTCTACTATGGTATGTGATACTCAGGCGATATTTTTTTTTATTTCTTGATTTCTATAACTTCCTCAACCTTTTACTTCTCTTCAATTCAGGTGAATCTTATAATGCATACATACCATCCATTCTCTTTTCATATATGTAACGAATTCACATATACGGATTAAAAAGCAAAGAAAAAACCATTTCCAATGTGTTTCGACATTTCCTTATTTTTATTATGATTTCAAATTTTAACTGGTTAATAACTACTGTTGTAACTAGTTTCTTTTTTCTTTAATATATTATGCATTTAAAAAAAAAAAAAAATTCAGAAAATAATAAAAAAAAAATTTTATTTTTTCCTTACAATATTTTCATTTCTACTGACTACTTACTTATTTTATATTTGAATGTCATTTGAATGTGAAATTTTTATCTGTGTCAAATGGAAATTTTCTTTCAATTTCTATACTTGCGCTTACGGAAGCTGTAACAACTCTCGTGTATGACGTTTTCAATTTTTTTTTTTTCGAATTTTTTTTTTTTAATTTTTTATTTGGTGCAACTATAGCAATAATATCGTATGGTATATTAACATATATGTATGTGGGAATGTTTATTGTTAATTCAATATTCATCTTTAAGATCCGCTTATCACAATTTCAATAGTAAGTATGAGCTTAAAATTTTAACTCATCTATTTTAAAATTATTAGTATTTTAAAATTTTGATTAAATTACCCCACTTGGCACTACATGGCTCTCTTCTTGACTTTAGAGCCATGTTTCGGTATCATAAATCATTGAATTAATTAGGCGGCCAATTGTTCTACCGTCATTCTTCTTTATTTTCTATTAGTTAAAGTTACCGATATTTTATTATTGCCTCATTATTCCATGTTTTGATTATATGGCAGTTAATTTAGTATTAATTTTTTAATTTATAATATTTGATAATAGGCTTTATTAAGTTTATCTTTGCGGACAATGTGCGATTGTTAGGTCTTTTCCAATATAACACGAAATTTATTACAAAATGATGATAATCTCTTAACGGCAAACCAAAATATAAACGTCAACTCAGTAGAAGTTTATTATGTGAAAAATCGCCTTTTCTTCACAAAACTGTGAAAATCGTTTCAACAATAACTTATAATTGGACCTTAAATATTCCACTATGAAAACAAATATAGGATTAAATTTTAAACCGAGTATTAGTAGGGGATAATAATTGATATAGATTAAATTTTTCAACTTGTTACTTTTTAAAGTTCTAAAATACTCGTATTTTGTTTTTTTTTCCAAGTAAAAATTAAATTTCTTTTAGAATGAATAATTAACAAATATCTTAATATTAAATTATTCTGGTTGCATATTGATTTTTTTTTCATTATCTTTAATCTTACAACCTACACAATCACACTATTATTTTATAAGAAAAAAAAAACTTAAATGCCGCATGTTCTTATATAAAAGTTAACATTAAAATATGCAATAAAAACAAACTACTAACATTACTTCTAATTTTTAATATACTGTTCTGCATAAGGTTACCATCCCATATAGAGATAGGAGTAAGTATTTTACCATAGAAATAATTTATATTTTAATGATGGCCAACACATCCATACAATAAATACACAAATAATATAAAATATTTATACCTATAATAGGTTGTAACTTGTTTGTTTGTTATCTTAATTTCTTAACATAAGTTTGTATATTATTCTGGAATTACTTGCATACATATTTACATATATATATATACTCATACCTAAAACTTTATATTTTTCTATTACAGTTATATTAATGAGATTCAATAAAAAATATTTACCATAAGTGTGAAAGATATAAGGAAATGCCGCATACATATCCGAGATTATCGATTTTATATATACACAAAATAAGAAAACAAATTATTTAGACATAAACACCTTTGTGTATAATGTTGAGAACAACATAATGTAAAGAACACCTCTTTTTCTATATAGCCCCCATTTCTGTATTATTATTATTCGTTTGTGTATTACAATATTCATATAATATGCAAAAAAATGCGGAAAATTTATAGAGAAATTGTTGGTAGAAGTCCTTTTATAAAAAAAATAATACTTTATAAATATTTTCACTTACCTTGTTAGTTTTTATCTATATTATATGATTTCTGATTTTTTTAAAATCCAGTTTTATTATACACGCTATCATATGACAATTTTATGCATATTTTCTATTCGATTTTGCTTATATACTTTTTAATTTTTATCAATAGATGTCATAGGTAAACATTAATTTTGATTAGGCGATAATCTGTAAAAAAAAATAAAAGAAAGAAAATAATTATTTATACACATGTGTATGATAAATAAATTAACAAATTAAAATTATGTATGATTGTTAAAGAATTAATAATGAGAATGATTCGAAATTTGTAGGTGCGCTTACAATAAATTTGTAATCAAATTTTAATTTTGTAAAGAAATTTTAACTTAGGAGCTGAGTAAGATTAACAACTTTCTAGGAGAATATACAATAACAATAAGACAAACATACTTTACAGATAAAAGGGTAATTGAAAGAGGCACCTGTATAGTGTACATTTTTCTCGGCAGATGGCTTAACATAATCCTCATATTTTCGGTATAGCTAGTTTTTATTCCGTGTATACCAGAGTTTTTACATAAACGAATATTCATTTACAAATTTCTCCGAAATATTCCCGATTTGTTTGGATTTTTGAAGAATTATATTTCCTTAAATTAATTGCAAACATCCATTGTTTTAGTAATACGATACAGTAGAAACCTGCTCTAGTGAACGCCCGACTTTATGAACTTCTCAGTCGAGTGAACACAAAAATTTTAGCATTGACTGCCTTACACTGTGAACAAAAATTTTTATAAGTGCCCAGTATAGTGAACAAATTTTACAAAACTGTTTTTTTTTTTATATTATTCTTTTTATTTTTCTCATTGTAACGGGATTTTTCAAGTTGAATTACAAAAGAGAGCATTATTTTGTTTATTTAACATATAAGTCATACGTTGTGTTAGGTAATGGCATTCAATTAAAGTGTAATTTCGATAAAATAAAAGTGTTCAAATTTTTTTTAAAATGCCGAAAACAAATATTAAAAGAAAACATTTGAATTTAAATGAAAATATTAAAATTATAAAATCTTTAGAGTCAGGAGTAAGTGTTACAACATCATCTAAGAAATTTGGTATAGCTAAATCAACCGTGTGCGCGATTAATAGCAGAAAAATGAAGTTAAAGAGCCAAAATCGGTTACTAATTTAACTGAAAATGTGATAGAAACAGTTGAAGCAAAAATTTCTGATTATGGAGCCCTTGAAACGCTAAATAAGACTATACAATGGGCTGCAGACAACGATATCTTGTTAACCGATCAAGTCACACTTAGAAATATAAGAGAAAATATTGTTTTAAAAATTTCAAATAAAAAAAAAATTTAAAAAAAAGTAACTGAATACTTTTCGACTTAATAAAGCTTTAAAAACTACTTTTTAGTTTAATTTATTTGACATTTAATACAGTGAACAGGTTCAATAGAACGAACAGCCTGTGTTTTTATTATGTTCACTCGAGCAGATTTCTACTGTATATGATTTTCAAAGACTATATCCATTATATATATGCCGATATTTCTAACAAAAAATATCGAAAATTGTTGTCGTTTAAAAATATTTTGGACATTTTGTCGTGCACGAATTTATCTAATATACGGTATTAACTATGTATATTTACTATTAATAAGGCAATTTAAAAATGAAAATATTTTCCTAAAATATGATTTTTTCCTGCATATTTACAACTTTATCATTGACTTAACTTATATATTAGTCTTTATCAATTACCATTAAATTAAATCAATGAATTTCTATTATAAACATAATAAGATTATGATTACGTGATTACATTAAAAATGTTATACAACGTTGTCTTAAAAAAAGTAAAAATTTTTCTTCTCTAATTTCTTTTACATATTAATTTTCCATTTAACAAGAAACAACTTTCATCATTTAAAATCCAAATTAATAACGTGAAAAATTACAATACCGAATCAGTTAATTTTAATTAAATTCCTCAGTCGTATCAAATTAATCAATTACCATCTTTGATCTCATTAATTTTTATTTAATATAATTTTAATTTAATATATATATAATGGTTACGAAAACACTAAGGAAATTTTTTCATTTGGTGCGGTTTACCCCCTCCCCTGTTAAATAAAACTTTTAATAATATTTTTATTTTCAAACTATGAAGTCCAATTTTGTCCCGCTCTACATATAAAAATTAATTACAATGTTAATAACTCATTATGTTATACATATAACAATATTTTTTTATTAATTTAATTTAATTGATTTTATTTATGTGTAATAATTATGTCAAATTGAAATAGACCGGCAAAACTTATGATTCAATCACGTAATAATGAACGATTCACTTTTCAGTTGTATACAAAAAATAGAATCAAGTTTAGTTACACTAAACTAATTACTATTTATAACAGTTAAAAAACATTATTATACTCTATTATAACATTTTATATAACACGTACATATAAAATGTGAGTGAAATGTTAAAAAGTGCATTGATGTGGAAAGAATGCAATTTTCATTTAAAAAACAAAAAAAAAATTAATTATGCATTATTTTTTTTTTCTTTTTTATTCCTCTTTTTTATTACGGCCGCACAAAAGAAAAATAATAATATTTGAATTAATAATGTGTAATATTTTTAATGCTTGTGTATGTGTTTGTAATGCCAATAATATTGTGTACACAAAATATACAAAAGTACAAAAAAATTTTTAATTTGTTACCATTTGAACAGACACAAGCAAACCGTTCATTCTGCATATATACTTACATAATAATATCCGTGTTTCATAATATCAAAGCTATTGTGTAACAATTAATAGAGTTAGGAGTTGATTTGTATAATGGAGGATAGATACAATAAAAAATATTTCACATGTAAATTGCATATTTTATAAAAAAAATTCAGTTATTTTGTTTTGATTTATTACAGTGTTTTAATATTATTAATGTTAAAAAGGTGATATGCACAAATCCCATAAGAAATATCTTTCCGTATGATTTGAAAATTTCGTGATGATATCAAATAAGAACTCATATTCATATACAGATATTAGTTCTATAAATAATCTTACATTATTATATGCATTAAATCTAACAGAAGCTGACAATTTTTATTCTTAAATTTTAAGATTACAGGAATATTTCATACCAAGAATGATGAACGATATCGAACATGTTGTTACATACAGCTCATGTTTGATTATAAACTATTAGTTGTAATGTATAAATGCAGTAGGTTGCTTATCTTAATAAAAATATCAATTAGCATTCCGAAATTGTAAAATTTGCAAATTTTCCGAGAGACTTATAACTTATAATTTTGTTTAAATCAATTATTATTATTCTAATTAATGATTATTGCATTAAGAAATTATTATACCCGTACGAACGTATGTTCGAAGGGTATACTAAATTTGCCTTACCGTTTGTAACGCTAAGAAATAACGGTGTTAGATATAGACTCAAGTGTATGTTTTTGATCAGCGTCAAATTCTGAGTTGATTTAGCTTTGTCTGTCCGTCCGTCCGTCCGTCCGTCCGTCCGTCCGTCCGAACGATAACTCAAAAACTAATTGAGCTAAGTTCACCAAATTTTCACAAATGATTTATTGTAGTAAGTGCCAGAACCTTATTTAAATTGGACATGATCGGGGTACCGGTTCGGGTAGCTGCCATACAACTTCAAAATTTATTTGGCCATATCTCAGAAACTATAAAAGTTATGGTATTGAAATTTCACACAAACGAATATATTAGTAGGGCCAATATGCCATATAAAAGTCGTTGAAATTACTTGGCTCCTTCTGGTACGTGCCATACAACTTCAAAAATTATTTGGCTATATTTCAGAAACTATTAAAGCTATGGTATTGAAATTTCATAAAAACGAATATATTAATAGGGCCAATGTGTCACATAAAAGTAGTTGAAATTACTTGGCTCCTTCTGGTACCTGCCATACAACTTCAAAAGTTATTTGACTATATTTCAGAAACTATTAAAGCTATGGTATTGAAATTTCACACAAGTGAATATATTAGTAGGGCCAATGTGTCTCATAAAAGTCGTTGAAATTACTTGGCTCCTTCTGGTACCTGCCATACAACTTCAAAAGTTATTTGACTATATCAAAACTATAAAAACTATAAAAGCTGTGATATTGAGATTTCACACAAGTGAATATATTAGTAGGGCCGATGTGCTTGATAAAATTCGCTAAAATTTCTTGGCTCTTTCTGGTAGCTGCCATACAACATCAATAGTAGTTTGGCACAACCAGTATTTTGAATAACACATAGTACTGAAATTTTGCATAAATTAATATGGTAATACGGCAACTTAAAGTCATAGTCTGACCCATAGTTAGTTATGGCACATTAGTTATTTGCACATAGGATAACAAATTCGTACGGGTATCACAGAGTTGACAAGGTCAACTCTATTTTTTTTCTCGTTTTTCTTTTATTGTTACATAATATGTTTTATTGTAATCAAAATAAGACACAAGAATTCTACAATTTCTAAAAAATTTTACTTATTTTTCATTTCGTAATTCATGTAGAATATCTTTTGAAAATTAAAATAAATATCTTATGTTAGCTATGATTAAAAAAGTTCTTATGCAGAAAAATTCTAATATTTTATTCATGTCATGCAAAATGTTAAATTTCTATTGTATAACAGAAATACAATGAGAAAATTTTTAAAACAAAAAAATAGAAAAGAATTTTATATTAAAAATTTACTGTTTCTTTTTGATTTAGTGTACTTTTCAGAATTTAAATTATAAAAATTATTTATAATTAGAAAAGTATTATATTTTACAGCAAAACCAAAACACAAAAAAAACAATTGTGAGAATTTCCATAAACATCATTTTTGACATTAGAATTTCTAAAATATGTCAAAATTCTGTCAACAAACCTTTTAATTTATTACGTTTTTTAAAGAACTGCCACGGCAAAATGTGAGAAAAAACACGTTTATCAAAATATTTGGCATTTAAATCACATTTTGAAGGCATAAATTATTACGATAAACCATTTGACATTCGTAGCATCTTTTTGACACTCGTAACAAAAACTTGCACTTGTAATATAAGAATTCATTGTAATTTCCACAAGCTAATGTTCGTTTAA